TGTGTTACACACTTTGTAGCCTTTGCAGCTATCATACGGCAGCGGAGGAATAATGAGCATTCAGTACAGAGACATTGTGTGGGACAGTGTGGCATGTTGCTACCTGCCCAGATGCTAACAGCTGCCTTAACAATCAGCTGTCTGAGCCATTCATCACCTTGACAACCCATAAAGCTGTCACCAGGGAGACAAAATGTCCATGCCCCTGCAAGCTATATGACCAAGACGTGTCCGTAAGTAAATTAGTTCCCGTGTGTAGATAACTGTGCCTCCCTGTGGACTGACAGCCTTGAACTCAGGTAAACACTAATGAGTTCCCCATCCCTCCCCCCACCACAAATAATATGCATAATACATAATAAACAACACTAAAGATTTTAATCACTCCTGAGGGATGAATCCGTGTAAAGGCAGATGCAGCTAATGTTAATACATTTACTATAACGTTTTTTTACTTACTTACTTTTTTGTAACAGGCAGTGTTTTCACTTTAGGGACTGAAACTTCTCGTCTCTCTGAAATTGTTACAACAAATATATAATCAAAACTTTGCCATCTATCTTAAAATCATGCACGGAACAGAGCATAAAACCATACTTGCAAAAAAAGCATTTCTTCACAAATGGAGAATGAATCTGCTGGATAAATTACAGATTTCCATTAAACAACTATAAATATATATTTTGTAATTTTTTTTTATTTTCAAGTCTTACTATGGATATCCACAATTGTCATTATGATCAATACAATGTGGGTGTTGAGGTAACTTATTAAAAGAGCAGAGATGTCAATCACTGGCCCCGTCTCCAAAGTCTCAAAAATGGATTTACTAAGTGAAGCTGCAGACTCTCATCGGGGAACCACATTTGTGCACAACAGAAATGCTCTTCTCACAAGGATGGCTTTCACTCATGGTGCGTACTTTCTGTGAGTTTTAATACTAAACCGCCATGCATGTCCATCCTTAATTGTATGAATTGTTGTTTTCTTCACTCTAAAATGGGCCGTTTATAACTAAAAACGTTATATTTACATGGACGGGGGTCCTCTCTGTGGAGGCCGTCATGTTTTTTACTGTCGTCTAAACTGGACAAACTAAAACCTTTTGAGTTTTCATGACAACTGAAGTTCACCACAGGTTCTCTTTCATGTTTGGAAGTGGAGGGTGAGATGAGGTATATTCAGCTGCAACATGACACTTCACCTCTAGATGTCACTAAATTCCACACACTGAGCCTTTAAACACGTGTACATCATCAAGACAATGTAGGTAGGCAAAAGCGAGGAAATGCCTCAGGGTCACAGACAGTGATTCTTGATGATTGTTGTGAATAATATTGCACACTTGTTTCTCCAGAAAGTAGTTCCCATAATGTCTCAGAAATAGTGACAAATGAAAAAGAGTGTGCAAAAATAAAAATTCATACCGTGGACCCCTTTTTTACTGCTGTGACCTGTCACAGTAGGAAGTGGGTGAAATTGTTGGATTGTCGGTTTTAGAGAGTTACAGAAGTTGCTCAAGATGCTCTGTTGGAATGTATTGGCACTTTAAAACTAATCAGTCCAGACCAACCGCAGTAATCATCCTCTAACTGCCTTTGTCGTCTTTAAGAGCTTGTTTACTGCGTATTTTGTTTCTTTTATAAGTTGATTGGGTGCCGTCGTAAAAGAGCAGCCAACCAGGCTTGTAAAAACAATATATTATCACTGTGTGTGTGTGTGTGTGTGTGTGTGTCTGTCTGGCAAAGTGTATTTATATTCAAAGTGCCTTACTAATGACAAAACATATTTAAGAATGAGTTAAACAATCCCCACCCCAAACACACACACACACACACACACACATATTCAGCAGGCAACCAGACATTCTTGACATTTAGCAAAGGTTGAAAGACAAAGAACCTTTGTCTCCTAATAAGGCCACGGTCTCTACCGCACCTGAATGAGCATAGTGCGGGAGGGTAGGTGTGTGAGGAGGTCTGCATAGGGTGGGGTTTTGTGTGTGGTGGTGGCAGTGCAGAGGTATGTATATGGATAGGAGTGTGAAAATATAAATGAGGATGGAGAACAAGTGGGTAGGACCTGAAAAGAAAAAGGAAAGCGGCAGGTAGGAAGAGACATGAATAGCTGTGTGTGTGTGTGAGTTTGTGTGTGTGTGTGTGAGTGTGCATGCATGCGTGTGCAGGTAAGAGCTGTGGGAGGATGAGATTTGAGACTGTAAATGATCCTCCATGGAGAAAGAAAAAGTGAACATTGTTATGATCAATCCTCTTTCTGTAGGTTGAGAGCGATACCAGTTTTAGTTACAAAGGCTAATGGAAGCTATTGCTCGACAACACACCCTGATGCTTTACCCTCTGCAGTCACACACACACACACACACAGACTCTGATGCTCTACAACGGAGCGATATTCTCCATCACCGCAGGAGCTTGAAGCGGAACTCACAACACCCAAGGTCCTTCTGGTCTCCTCTCATCTTTCTCTCTCATCCATCACACCCTTCAGCTCTACCTCTCACCTCCCTCACTGCCTCCCTCCGTCTCTCTTATTCCTCCAAGTTTTTCTCTGGGAAAGAGAAAAAGTTGCTCCAAAATGGCTGAAGCAAGATGAAAGTAGTGTTTTAGCAAATATAAGCAAGGACAGAGGTGCGATGATGAAATGGAGACGATTAAACAGTCACAGCTTGCCAACTGGTCAAGCACCTTTCAACCTTCGGTTCGGTTACGTCTTGTTTTTCTACAGGGCTTCTGTCACTTTGAGTTATCTCTGCCATGTTTCTCTACTTAGCATACAGCTAAAGCCCCGTGCTATGTCGTGTCCACAGTTGTCCACAGTTTTCAAACACTGCGAGAGCGCACAACACAATACTGTTTTTTTCTGTTTTGTCTCAACATTACATAAGCAAAAGGTAAAAATATCTGGACCTGTCTTTAAAAACAGATGGTGTGGTTATGACATCAGGCTCGTTAAATGCAGCCATAACTAGGAAGAGCCAAGGGTTGTTGTGAAGTACACTGCCTCATATCCAGCTTCCTCTGCTAACAAGATGGCCAAGACAGTGTGTGTGTGTCTGTGTGTGTGTGACAGGGACAAGCTTTGCCACAGAACAAAAAGTATGTGCTGCAATAATCTTTAGATTCTCCTCTCAGGGTCTCTTGTCTTTCGCTATATTCGTCTCTATCTTTGCCCCCCACCTCCTGTTTCTCCCTCGTTCTGTGTGGGTATTCTGTCACTCACTGGAATGTGGGCAGATATTCAGACTTCCAGATTCAATCCACTAGCGACTCAGGAGCCAATATTAGCCATGCGGTCCTTGTTTTACCCATGAGCCCGTTGCCTAGGAAACGTTGCATAAGAGGGAGTGGGAACGCGGGATGCCCCTTGCTGATTGGGAGACAAGGTGGCAGATATCTCTCTCTCCCTCCCTCCCTCCCTCCCCTTATCTTCCCTGTATCTTCCTCTTGCATCTTGTTTCTTTCCCCTCCACTCAACACTTGCTCTAACTGTATGTGTCAAAACACTGGAGCTCCGACGCTCCCCTCATGCCACGTGTTGAATCGACTCAGCATCTTAGCTTTGCAGTCAAAAACATCCATTACAGTTAGTCGGCCCAGAATCCGAGGCTCAGCTAAATTAAAGCTTCTGCTGGACCGGTGACTTATGGCCCAGTTGGAAATGTTTGTCCACACGAGCACCTGCGTGCACTCACTCGTACACGCACACACTCCATGAGCTGAGTTGTGTATCATCCTCAGCTGCAGGAGGCCTTGGCTGGAGTCGGGAAGTATTATGCTTTGTTGATTCCACAGAGACCACATGTTCAAGACTGCATGACTTGGCCTTCCATGGCTTCCATACAAGCGAGGCCATGCTGTGTCTACATACCAGAAGGATGAGAGAGGAAGGAAGAGGGATGATGAGGGAAGGATGGCCTTGGCTCTCAATACGGGACAATTTATCTTCTGTATCCCGGCTGCCTGCAAGTCTTTGCCGGGTTTTAAAGATTTAAAAAGAAACAAGATAAGACTGGGCGCTTAAATCATCGTCATTTAGGAGCGCGTTGTCCAAAAATGTCCGAACAACATTACACACACACTCTGACATACCTGTGTAGGCAGAACCATGGATGTAATTAGTGATCTGAACAAATCAGGGGTGCTGTAGGTTGCACACTTTCCAATGGAATAACCTCGAATTGAGTTTCTCGTGTAATTTGCATTTTTTCCAGCATGTAGTAAGCCAAGAAAAGAGCAGGGTGGGCAGCCCCTGTGTGAGGGAGCCGTCTTAATCCATGTGTTTAGCAAGCACCATCTGCTGCTTTTATTCAGATGGGAGCAGAAATATTTGGTTGATTAGGAGAGGATCTGCGAAGGATAGCCGCACCGTTGCCACCAGTTACGAGGGACACACATGCTCGATTCTGTCAACTGGTGTCATTGAAAGTAAACAGAAGACAGACGCACAGACCTCAATGTACGAGTGCTCAGATGAGTACACGTGCATATGGGAAAAATGCATGACAATGGTGTTGGACACACAGCAGCTGAGCATGCAAACATAAACAAATGGAACTTTCCTTTTGGAGGCATCATGTTGTCAGGTGGTCTGTCTGTAAAAACATCTTATTCTTGTGAACTCAACATCTCAAGTGAACCTTGAGGGAAATCCTTCAAATTTGGTACAAACATCACTTGGACTCGAAGAAGAACTGATTTGATTTTGGAGGTTAAAGGTCAAGGTCACAATGGCCTCACAAAACATGTTTTTGGCCGTTGAAGATGATCATTTAGGGAATTCCTTCACATTTTCGCCCATTATCACTTGGAGTCAAACATTACCTGATAAGACTTGAGTGGTCAAATGTCGGTGACCTTATATGAATCTGGAAAAAATTCTCATTCTACTTTTCCTCCCTTTCTCCTTGATGTTTGTATGCAAATTCTCCTTTACTCGTTTGCATGTGTTAATTGAAAAACCTTTTGTTTTTCCAAATCTAGGTGCTGACCTCGGTGGTCTGATGGACCTGGAGTCTCTGTACCGCGGTGTGGAGCAGAGTATCAACCACACGAGAGCAGGGCGAATGCGCAGACAGACACTGGACAGGGCCTACAACATTGAGGTGCTGCTGGGCGTTGATGACTCAGTGGTCCAGTTTCACGGGAAGGAGGACGTCCAAAAGTACCTGCTCACACTCATGAACATCGTAAGTGTGCCTGCACACACACGTCAAATAAAAGAATGTTTGATTGAACTGGACACTTAGGTTAACTGCCAACATTTGAGGAATATCATAATGTGCATTTCTAATACATAGGTTCCCTAATGCCCAGAAGTGACATTTGTTGTCTTTCTTTCAAAAAATGTAATTATTAAATGGGGAAAGAGTTCCATTGGAGCTTAATGGGAAATGAGTCACAGAGAGGTCAAAGGAAGGGCTGAATCTCTCTCTCACACAAACACACACACACACACACACACACACACACACACATATACACACACACGTCATCTGAATGAGGATTCAATTCCCTTCCTACATGTTCTCATCCAGCAATCAGCCGCAGGTAATCCTTTCTTCTCTATCTGAATATGATGAGATTTCATTTGTGTGTGTGTGTGTGTGTGTGTGTGTGTGTGTGTGTGTGAGAGTGTGTGTGTTAGATGAGCCCTGTGCTCTGAAGGGGCTCCCAAATATCGTTTCATCAAGCTTTGTGTCGTGTCATCATTCATTCATTGTGTGTGTGCAAGTGTGTGTGTGTGTGTGTATATGCGTGTGTGTGTGAGATGCAAAAACAGCAGGTAGTATGCTCCAGGCCACAACAACACTTTGCCAAGCAGTCACAC